CAAAGTGCTAGGATTACAGGCGTGAGCCACCGTGCCCGGCCAGATTTATCTTTTCTTTTACAATTATTCCCCATGTAGTCATCCTGTAATAACATTTGTCATCATCTCTCCACATTCAATTTTTTGGGGGAAAACAGCTCTACTTTCATTTTCATGGAAATCATAGGTATTTTTTTTTTAAATTACCATTTGCAATTGCTTTTGTTCTTATCAGACAGGATGAGATTAATCGTCTTTCTAAAATACCTCAGCGTAAAGCCCAAATCCACTATACACTAAGGACAAATGTCACCACTCAGTGGTAATACCATCTGTTGGTGATACTTAGAACTGAGGCGCTTTGATTCTTTAGAATGTAGAAACTTATAAATTGGATGTGAAAATGTTATTACCTGTTCTTTTCTTTTCTTCTCTGATAGAAATACAGTATGGTTTTTTTTTGATTCATATATGCTGTAATATTGCTGTATTTTATTAATAGTTTTGAATCTCACTCCACTGCATTTCAGTGATGTGTACATGTTGGAACAAAATTATATGCTGGTAGGAGTTCTACATGGACGTAAGTCAGATCACCTGAGCAAAGCCCTCTTCCCCCCCAGGAATGCACAATTCAAGCACAATTCATACCTTTCGAGGCCCTTGTTTTGATTCAATATCATGAAAGGCTGAATTACATGATCTCTAAGGTTACACTCAACCTTAAAAATGCCTATTTTATGCAACAATAATTATTGTATTTTGGTAAAATTTCTAAGTCTCGGTAGTAGAATCAGTGGCTCTAAATTTTGTTATTGAGCTCTTTATTTTTTTTTTTTTTTGTCCCTTAAAACCGCTAAAAAGTTTCTCAACTATAGCCTTATTTCCTATATTACTATTTGGACATATTATTGAGTACTAAGACACTAAACTAGACACTGGGGATTGAAGAAAAGAGATTTTCCTGCTTTCTTGTTTTATAGTATAAACTGAGTATTTTTAGCCCCCTTCCACAATTCCAGTTTAAAAGTCTCTCTATCAGGACAGTGGATTTGATTGACAGCACATTGTTCTTGACCTTCACAAAGTGAGTGCAGTGTTTTTCTTTCCAAGAGCTCATTCTTCAAGAGTTAGAAAGTGCAAGCATGGAAACTGAAACCCGCTCTGCACATCCTCTGTAGAGCTAGCATGCGATTACCTACTTTGCTGTTAAGGTACAGGCTTCCACTAGCAGGAGCAATGGAAAATGTCACCTGCACCCTCCACTTTCTCACCAGGAGTTTGACTTTCTTAAGCTAAGTAGGTTGGTATTTTTGGCATTCAGTGAGCCTATAACTTAGCCCTGTGATCTTCCACTTAGTGTAAGTAACCAGCCCTTTAAATGAGTAACCTTTAGGTACCAGTTTTCAAGAAATCTTTTCAATCCTAAGGACATGATTCCAGAAGCTTAATTTTAGAGAAAATTTACATTTTGTACACAACACATGTCACTGGCAAGTCTGGAAATATTTTATTCATTCATTTATTCTGCAGGCATTTATTGAGCACTTTCTATGTGCCATTCCTATTCCACGTCCTGGAGACAGAGCTGTGCCTATCTGTACCCAGCAGAACCTGACTGATGAAGTCCCTGTACTAGTTTTCTGTGGCTGCTGTAACAAATGACCACAAGCTTAACATCTTAAAACAACACAAATCTATTGTCTTCTGGTTCTGGGGGGTCAGAAGTCTAGAATGAATCTGAAGGACTAAAATGAAGGTATTGGCAGGGCTGCATTCCTTCTGGAGGCTCAAGGGGAATTTGTTCCTTCCTTTTGCAGCTTCTAGAGGGCCTTATGTTCCATGGCTCATGGTGCTACATCACTTTGACCACTGCTTCTGTCATCACATCACCTTCTCTGGCTCTGATCTCCTGCCTGTCTCTCATAAGGACCTTGTGATTAGGTTTGGCCACCCAGATACCCAGAATTGTCTCCCCAGCTCATGACCCTTAACTCGATCCCTCCGCAAAGTCCCTTTTGCCATGTAGGATGACATACAGTTTTTGGGGATTAGCACATGGACATTCTTGGGAAACCATTATTTGGCCTCCCACAGTCCCTATCCTCTCATTTCTATTATAGTGACATAGTGGCAGTAGTAATTAATCTGCTTCTATCAGATTTACTCATTCTGGTGAACTAGCCATATTTCACATTTATTTATCTTCATTGGAATTTAAAATATGTCAGATCAGGTCTTAAGATGTAGGCAGTTTTATCAGAATGTTAGCATGTAATAAAAATCTAGACAGTTGGCTACATGAGGATGGTTTTATATCTGGGTTCTCAGTTCTGTTCCATTGGTCTATGTCTCTGTTCTTGTGCCAGTATCGTGCTGTTTTAGTTACTATAGCCTCGCAGTATAGCTTGAAATCTGGTAGATTGATGATTCCCAATTTGTTCTTTTTGCTTAAGATTGCTTTTGCTATACAGGGTCTTCTCTGGTTCCATACGAAGCATAGAACTATTTTTTTCTAGATCTGCAAAAAAT